GTGTGTGTGTGTGTGTGTGTGTGTCTGTGTGTCTGTGTGGTGTGTGTGTGTGTCTGTGTGTGTGTGCGTGCATGTGTGTGTGTCTCTGTGTGTGTGTGTGTGTGCGCGTGCGTGCATGCGTGTGTGTCTGTGTGTGTGTGCGTGCGTGCGTGCATGCGTGCGTGTGTGTGTGTATGTGTGTCTGTGTGTGTGTGTAACATTACAGCGTTAAAATCAGTCTGAACGGCCTGAACCTGGTCAAGCGGAGGAGATCCGCAGACAGATGTCAAATATGAGTCTCAGAGTAAACAAACCAAGACAAAAGGAGCGAGAGAGCGAAAGTAGAGGACGCTTCTTAGATCTTGTGACTGAATGATATATCAAATATATGCACATTACATTCATGATTTAGCCATTAATATTCGTGAGGAGCACGTCATTAGACTAGTCTGACGATTGTTCCTCGTCTCATAAGCACATCCAGATCATGCATTTCAGATCAAGACACTCTAAGCTATATGAAAATCAAAAATACCACTGAACAAAAAGTAATTCCCATGTTTTTTCACTGAAAACATACAGAAATAAGGACGAACAGATCGCTGTAAACCCAGGCTTTCTTTCAGGTTTGAATCTTACCTGACTCGGGGAGAGGAACTCTTGGTTGTTCTCACTCATGTACATGTTGTCACCATCAAACTGCGGGCAGATGGAGAGAAGAAGAATAAAGTTTGATTGGTCAGACAGCCGAGAGAAAGGAACATGATTTGCATATCAGACATAATGTGGAAAAAAAGGGAAAGAACAATTCCATCAAAACCGTCAGAGAGAGAAAGAGACAGTAGATCTGCTCCAAACTCTAGTGTGCAACGTATCTAGACAGCGTTTCAGCGCACGTTCTTCTTCTGGTTTAATTCCAAAACAGCATTCCGACATTTCTACTGAATACTGAAATAATTCGATTCTATAGATTGCCTTTATAACAAAGCAAAATATCAGCCATCGTAGTGGATTTTGTGGTGTTTGCTAAAACCACAGAAAGCAATATGATATTAGTAACTCGAAAGACGGTTCGGAAAAGTAGACAGTAGGTCATCACAATATATCAGTCAACATACAATATCTGTCATAAAATATTAAAATCATATTCTATAAAATTCTAAATTTCTAAAATTCTAATATATATATATATATATATACAATATTGTTAATAATAATGTATAAAATATAATAATATACATTTTACATTATACATAAAACATATACAAATATTATATATACGTATATACAGTATATATATATGTGTGTATATAATTATTATTTTTTTTTTTACATTTGACCCATTTTGCATTATTGGTCTCATTATATATATATATATATTTTTCCAACTCAAAAATTTAAATCTTTTTTTTTTTTTTTTTTACTAAAATCCATCTTTTATAATGCTTAAACTTTAAATTGGAGCTTAAATATAAACGCTGCCTTCATAGGAAGGCAAATTGGCCATCATATTGGATTTTGACCATGTAAACATTAATAATATTGGCCATGGATATTGGTTATGGGCCATTATAGAGTTATAATATTGACCATCACATCAGCTGTCAGCTTTCACATAATCAAATCTTATATAATTTCACATTATAAAATCTTAATAAACACACACAAACACATGTTTGCATTGCACGTTTGATATTTTGACATTATAATATATGGTATATATTTATTCCATTAAAAACGTTTAATATATATATATATATATTTCTGTAATATTGTCTATGATATTTCTATATTTATCAAAATACTAAAAGTTAGTTAATTTATACTTTTACATGAACTCATTTACTTTCATTTTATCAGTCATATAAATAATGCAGAACCTCGTAGTGTTTAATATTTATCACACTGAAAAATGGTAACATAAATGGTTTTATTCAAATAAAAAGATCACTGAATCAACCTAAATGCATTATCTTATAGCATAAAAAAATATATTTTGCTAACAATTGCAGGTCATCACTTTTTACAGTGCATTTGTATTTATAGTATACTTATATAAACTGAAAATATTGATATTTCTCAAAATCCTAAAAATCTGGTTGCAAAATCTGTTTCGAAATCATTTAATTGCATTGATAATCCAATTAATAATGCATTGCACAACTGCAGCATGTTAAAAGTTGCATTATCTTAGCAAAGTGCAAAGTCAAACTCTACTTTAATCGAATCTCTTCTATGCTGAAATTTCATTTGCGAACAACTTTTGCTACTGACAGACTGAACAGGTGAAAACAAGACAGAAAAACCGTCCTGGGTCTGAAATGATGGAACGGTGTGAAAGGAAGGATATGACAGCTCAAAAGAGAGAATTTGAAAACCGACCACAATTGCCCTGCAGCGCATTTCCTCGGACTGAAATGTTGAGCACAAACACGTCGCTCCTGCCTTCACGATTCTGAGCTAAATTACTCAAAACCTTAGTTTTACATGCAATGCTTGGACGCAAGAGCAGGACGAGCGCAGACACCAAACACTGTCAGAACTGCATAGAGTGTCTCTCTTATGAGCTCTGACAGCTGTCAAATATAAGAGAAGAGACAGACACATACAGCTGCAAACAATTCATTAACGTACAATATAAAAACACACGTCTAAAGGCTAATCTGAGGAGTGCAGAGGAAGCCTTCCTTATTATGACTGAAGAAATAAAGGACTCAATTAACTAGCTAATCGTTTCTTTATAGTTATGTCTTAATTGCTTCACTCGTCAGACAAAACCTTATTGGAAACAACCAAGCAACAGTCATATTTACACAGCAAATATCAGACAAACAAGCCAAAACAAAATAAGAGTTTCGCAAACAGGAGGTGCGTCAGTGCGGTGTTTGCTAAAACCACAGAAATCAATACGATACTAGAAACTCAACAGACGCTCAGAAAAGCAGATAGTAGGTGAGCATAATATATCAGTTAACATACAGATTCAGTTTCATAAAACATTTGCATTTTTTAAATTTATTTTATATTTTTATATTATTATATTTTATATCAGCATATTTATATTCTATCATATTATAGCAATTTAAATGACTGGTTTCATTATATCATGTTTTTATGCTCAAAAAGTAAATTAAGTTTTGTTTTGTTTGTTTTTTTGGGCAAAGTTAAAAAAAACTAATAAAAAATAAAAGTAAAAAGTAAAAAAATTTGGCTATCGTATTGATTTTTAAAAATTTATTTTAGTCATGATATTGGTTATGGGCCATCATAGAGTTAGTATAATATTGATCGTATCAGTTATCAGCCTTAATAGATTCATAAAATCATCATATCAGTATCAACCAAAATTAGCATTTTGCATATTAGTGCATCCCTTTAGATGACATTTAATTCTATGATAGTGTTTTGTGGGAAAGTTCACAACATCTCACATGCATTTGTTGAAACGCCTGCTGTACATCCCCAGTATACGGATCAGAGCATGTGCAGTGATCACACACACACACACACACACACACACACACACACACACTCCCTCACTCACTGACACACACACACACACACTCACTCTCTCACTC